TAACTGAATGTACCACTTGTGTTTTGTAGGAATGTTCTGTGTGTGTGTGTGTGTGTGTGTGTGTGTGTGTGTGTGTGTGTGCATGCATGCACATATAGGAGAGAAGAGGTGTGGTTTCTCTGTGGAGGTACAAACTGAAATGCTCAACAGATCCCCTGTTATATCTTATTTTTATGTGTAAGTTTTAAATTAAGGATGGGTTGGGAGGAGGGGCAATTTTAGCCATTGTCACCCTTTGAAACAAAATAGATTTTCTTTATATGTCATCCACTGAGAACAGGGGAGAGAAGAAGAGGAGTGGGTGAAAATGGATGATCTTAAAATAAAGATTGACTGTATTATCAACTTGGGCTGCTATAACAAAGGACCACAGACTGGGTGGCTTAAATGATGAAAATTTATGTGCTCATAATTCTGGATGCTAAAAGTCAGAGGCCTGGTCAGAGGGATTGATTTCTTCTTGGCATGTAGGTGGCTGTATTCTCTCAGTGTCTTCATATGGTCTTCTTTTTGTACATGTCTGTGTTTTGATTTATTTTTATCAGGACACTAGTCATATTGGATTAGGACCCATCCATAAACTCTTGTTTTGCTTTAATTACATTTTTAATGGTTCTATCTCCAAATACAGTCACATTCTGAGGTATTCCATTAAGCCTTCAACATATGAATTTTATGGAAGGGAAAATTCAGCCAAAACAAGGACTGAGCTTCTGCATTTGTACTTACATGCACAGCTACTATTACTCTATAGCTTTATCTAGAGATGAGAAGATTCCTACCCTAATTCACTAGGAACATAAGTGTGACCTTCCTGTTATAGATGGTATGAGTGATTGGAGGGTAACAGTTGGATATCCCAAGTTAAGTCTGGCTAGGTGGCATGGTCAAAGTTCTCAGTCAGAGGCCGGCTGGTCTTGTCATCAGTTCCTTATAAGAAGAGATTGGAGTCTTCTGGGAGGAAATGGAGTCTTTCTTCCCATCCTGCAGAGCTTCCTAATAACTGAACTCATCTTCCTCCACACTCCTATCTCTTGAATCACGGTATCATCCCAGGGGTCACCCTAGGAAAGAACAGCCCCTCTGCTCTGGGCTGGCATGGGCATGAATCATAGATGCTTCCACAGTTTCCATTTTTGCCCAGAGTCGTTCTCCAGAGATGAACATTTAACTGTAAGTTTCGTGTAGTTTTACCTCATCATGTATCTTCTCCTTACTAGATGTATTCAGACCTTATTTCCAGAATTTGGTAAGCGGGACTATTTTTCATCTGCTAATCACAGGACAGAAGATGGAAATTAGGGTTATGGTTCTTGGCTCTTTTATTTGGAATTAAAAATGTTCCTAATATGATTTTCAATATAATTATCCTAAATTGAGTTATTCCAGAGCAGAGACTCTTACCCTGAACACTATGGACTTTTGGGCTGGATAATTCTTAGTTGTGAAAGTTGTTCTGCATATTGTGAAGTCAGCAGCATCCCTGACCTTTACCAACTAGTTGCCAAGAGCACCCCCAGTTGTGATAACCACAGATGTGTCCGTAACTTTTCAAATGTTCTGTAGGGAAGAGACAAAATCTTATTAACATTTTATATTTGACTTTTCTAGGATATATCTTTCAAAATAAATCATTATCTGTCCTGTTAATATCGATTCAAAACGTGTGCACTTTGCTGACTCCAGGATGTCTGGATGTCAGGTCCAATTGGAGTTCACACATTTCTCAATTTACTTCTCCCTCTTCTTTTAGCTACACCTTTGCTCAAAAGATGCCTAAAGCATTCTGTGAGATGATGACTAATATTTTCTTTTCTCCCTTCATCTCTCTTTCTCTTTTTCTACAAATACCTCGGATTACATTGTATTTACTAGCTTGTGGTAATTCCAAAATTCTTACCTTGTGGTTTTTAATTAATTCCAATTTCATGAATCCTGGGGTTTAACTTTGACTTTTTCTCATTTTTTTTTATATAGACTTTGTGATGTCAAGTTGTCTTATTCACTTTGTTTCAAAGTTCTGCTCAAGAGTAGGTGCAGGTTATAAAATGGTAAAGTCAGTTTGATCCCAGTTTTGTCTACACACTCCATATACACATGCATGTGCACGCACGCGTGCGCGTGCACACACACACATACATACACACACAAGTGCAGAAAAATATTTTGGAGGGATATATTATAAAGTGTAATCCTTACCTAAATGGGACTCTTAGTGTTTTTTCCCTCTTTTTGCCATTTATATTTGCTAATTTTTCTAACAATAAGCATCTTGCTTGTGCCATTAAAAAAAAGGAAAAAAAGATTTAAAAGTCATTGTCAAGCTTCTTGAAATATCAGTGCAAGCTATGGCACCCATTCACTGATGCTGTTAATAGTAACAAGAGTTTTATTTGAAATGGCACTTATTTTTGGAAGACACAGGACAACTGAGTCACTCATCATATTTTAGGGGAAAGGATGAAACAAGAAACCCCAGAGGAACAGGTGGAGATTTGCTAGGCAGATTTCTTGTCTTGTACTGAAAGCTTTTTGGGTCAAGATAAATGTATGTGTATGAGCTCAGATGGAACTTTCCTGAGCTCCTGATGGGCTGAATTTAGCAGTGAGCTAAGGCTCCGGGTCACTTAGCGAGTCACCTGGCAGAGAATGGCTAGTGTATCTTGGGGCTTTGTATATTTAAAAGCTGTCCAGCAAGCACATTGTGTTCCTAGAGCACCCTCAGCTTGCCTGTCTCCAAGTGGCTCAACAATACCAAATACTTCCCCAAAGCACTATCCGTGGCCCAGCCGGTTCCATGAAGTTCACAGAGTCTAGTTCCTTAAGGAATCACAGCTCACAGGCAGTCATGCTCTGTTAAAACACGCCAGGAACTGAATTGTATCGTCTGGTTCCTGTGTACTTTTAGAAATCAAAGTTCCCCTGAGGGAAGCCCTTTGTGCTTGATTGAGCACATATTTATTTCTTGTCATCTTGTACATCGTAAGATGCTGTTATGAGGAGAGGACTATTTGTGACAGCAGAATTTGGTAGAGGAGAATAATGGTTGAATGTAGCTGTTTAACTCTGTGTGCACAGTTTGATCAACAGTGTGTTTAGCACCAAGCATGGGTTGTTTAAGAAGAAAGAGCAGAGGCTTGGGAGACAGATACATCAGATTCTGAATCCAATTTCCATCATGTATTGTAATATCTTACATATATGACGAATTATTTAACCTTCTGCAGCCTCAGTTTATACCTCTCTAAAATAGGCACAAAGTGTATTTCCTCTTAGATTTATTGTGACGATAAAGACACAGAATGCATGTAAGTAACAGCTTGGTAGATAGCAACTGTTCAATATTCCTTTACCTCTGGTCAGTTTCTAGGTTTGTTGCCTACAATTAGCATAGGCCAAGAAGTCATAAACTTAGTTTGTAAAAGGACAGAGAGTAAACATTTTAGATTTTTGTGTACTAGAAGGTAAAATTGAGGTTATTATGTACATTATTATATAACAAGGAGAAAATACATCTCTGCCAATTATTATTGATGAAATTAAGAGTCTTATCATAAAAACAAAGTAAAATATTTTCTTTTTCTGTGGCTTCTTTTAAAACTATTTTCTAATATAGACCTACTAATAAAAATAAAGAAATTATTTCTTAGGAGATAATATTTTACTTAATTAGGGTTCAAAGTTAGTGTTCCCTAACATCAAGTTAATGGCCAGTAGTCATCTGTACAAACCACTCCTAACTTTCAGGGAATATAAAAAAACAAACAGAGGTCTGAATTTTCTCCTCAAGCTATAGTATGCCAATTCCTCCTACAGATAATTTATTAATAATTCCAATCTCTGCTTGTGTTCTGACCCTAATTATCAGTGATGAGTAAATAATTTGAAATCACAACTGACATATAAACAACTGTTAGAAGGGTACAATCTGGAGAGGAGGCTGAAATAATTATAAATTTAAATAAACACGTTCTTGGAAGCCGACAGAAGGCTTAGTCTGATTTAATCAAATAAATTTTTAAAGAATATCTCCCTTTGTGGCTGAAATCTGGGAAGCAGTGGGAAGAAATTATCAGGCCACACAAACTGACCACCTACAAAGAGAGCAAGCAGTGAATGGTTATGAAAACAGACGGTTACTCTGCTTTTGATCAAGTAAGAAAAGGACATGCCTATTTTCAATGATGGGGTCGTTAAGGCAGGGATTAACATTTGGCACATAAATATCAGAGGGTCTCTTCCTGTTGCCCGTTTGCTGACCTGGGTGCGTAGATGCAGTTTTATCTAGTTAAATTCCCACAAATGCACAGGTGAAAACAGGATCATAAGAATATTATGTGACATATTCTTCACATAAAGAGAGCATACATTAGTAGAAAGTTGATATTATCGGTGAAAATTATCCAATGGAACAGAGAAGATCAGTGTGGGAACTAAGATAAAGCAAGGCAGCACCGTGTTTTGATAATTGAGTTGTAAAGAGAGCAATGTCCAAGTTTCTGACAAAGACCAAGAAGGGACTGAGGTATACAGAAAGGATCCAGGTAGAAAAACTCTTATTATTTGTATGGCAGAAAAGGTTGATTCCACTGTAGCACATAGTTTGAAATTTGAGGAAAGCCTTTGGGTATTAACGGTGGCTGCCATGCTGTGGCTACAGATGTTTAGGGCAAGAATTCAAAAATTTGAAGATAGTTGACTTGGGAAAGTCACACTTCCTGTGATTAACTTGTCCTTGGACAAACAGTGAGTTTTGAGGCAGAAATATTTTAAAATGTATAATTTAAACTAAAGAGTAATTTTAGCCAAAGGGTATTTAGCAAATGAGCTTTAATGGTAGGTTTAAAAATACTTCTTCTCTGAGCTGTTGCTAACACATATTTTCTCCATTTGTGTGTCAAGAGAACACAAAGTAAATGAATTTTCTTATATTTTAACTAGCAACAGGAAATTAAATACGCAATTTAGGTAGGTATAAATGTCAAAAAGAAAAACTGAAGTATACTTCCAAGCAAAATTTATTAGATGTCTACTCAAGAAAAACACAATGACCTCTGCTTGTAAGAATTCAAAGTCAATTACCTGAAATCCAGGTATGAATATTTTTCTTTTTAAAATCAGATACAGAGTAGAAACAGTACTTTTTTTTAAATATGACAGGCAACAGATATTGAAGTCTTCTCTCATAAATGGCATCAAAGAGAATTATTCATTTATCAGCAAATCTGCATGCAGTTGACTTAATTTCAAACCCCAAACCTTTAAAGTATAAAGCTGATTGTGAACTTGATGGTAATCAAGGTGGTCTACTCAAAAATGCTTCTTTACTTTCTTCCTAAAGAAATTCCTCTGTAATCATTATTTATATACATTTCAATTTGGCTGCTAAGATATTTTAAACTCATAAAGTTTTGCATAAGTGCTACCTTACAGAATCACACTATCAAAGGGTGTGATCTGTGAGATAGGTAAAGGGTATTCTGCTGAAAGTGTTTTAGCAAAGTTTAAGTGCAGGATAAAGATCAGATTAGGAAATCCCCCTGCTTTCTCAATGACTAAATAGTCTGTACAAAAAAGAACAAACATATGTACAAAATTCAAGAGTCTATGTATTGTGAAAAGATCAATCATTGTCCACGGAAGAAATGCCATAAAAAGTTTTGTTTATAAGGTGCTCAAGATCCAAAGATGAATAGTTCTTATGCAAAGTCATAAGAAATACAAAGCTAGTTCTCAGGGTATGTGTAATTCAGGCACTGTTAACCTTATTAAATCTTTCAGGTCCAATGTAATTTTGCAAATTTAGGGCAAAAATATTACCTGAATGATTTAACATTGTCTCTAAAAAGTGCCTAATTTATTCCTAGGAAGTATTTTACACATACCAGGAAAATCAGGCTCAACATATTCCTGTTCTCAAATATAGCCAGGATTCTGGGTTCCACTGAAGAAAAATAATTACTATAGTAAAAATAATTGTATTGATCATAATCCTTGCTAAAACCAGCCTTAATACTTGTGATGCTTCTGAAGTACTCTATTTCTATAAAATAATATGTGGGATTCTTTTACATTTCCATAAAATGTACAACATATCATATGGATTATATGTTCTCATACAATCTCAAATGCGCCTGTGTACACACAGTGAAATCTTACCTACTAATATTGCTTACAGATACTTTCAAGTGTCTATATTAGAATAGTTCTTTGTACCTCTAACACTGCTTTCATTTAAATTTTATCAGATAAATAAAACACTAAGAGCTCATTGTTCATGATGCTGATGATTACATTTTAATATAAAATAGCAATGCAACTTTACAACACAATGTTTTTTTTTCTTTTAGCCTAGCTAATCCTCTTGTATTCTCATGATAATTACCAAAGGCTCTTATTCACTCACTGTTTGCACTTCTAAAAAGTACAAAAAAAAAAAAAAAAAAACTGCAGGAAAAGACTCCTATTTGAAAACTTACATTCAATCAACAAAATCACACCCATCCAAATTAACTTTCCTACTCTTGCTTTAGATTTTATAGTCACTGTGCATATAACAACATATAAGTGCAGGCAAACGATAGCTGAAGTACAGTTGTCATATAGTGTAAACCAGGACACTAGGCAAACTTGTGAAAGGAAAATAGAATGCCAAGCTAAGAATGTGAAAATACAAACCACAGCATTTAGGAATAAGCAATCTTCTGGTTGCCCCAGGGGAGACCATCTTTCAGAAATTTCCAAGTACAACCATGAGACCAGAGAGCATCCTGGATACACTTTCTTTTTGGCTTCAATATTTTACCTTTTCTAAGAAAAACGATTTTCTTTCTGATCCCACACATTGACATTTCAAAGTTTAGGGCAGAAAGCAGGAATATACACTTTCACATGAATGTAAGTCTGCCACGTTTCCCCCAAGGCTCACAGTGGCAGTTACTCTGCTGGTGGTTTGATGGTGGCAGGTGGGGATGGTGATGGCGTATTGGAAACTATAAGGCATGACAACGAGAGGCCTTCAGGGATGTCTCAGGCAAGTTTTATGCAGACGTGTTGCTGAAATGCGGCATAAATAAGGAGGGAGAGTGATTCACAGCCTCTTGACATAGTTTCCGGGGAAAGTACCAAAGAATTTGGTTCTTCTTGAGGTTCCTGAAAATAGAAGCAATAAATGAAAAAGGTGTGACAACAAGGAAATATCAGTTCATATCTGTAGACTTGAGCGCTTTCAACCTGCAAGGCTTCACTAAGAGATAAAGCCCTGAAGGGTTTTGGAAAGGATGACAGAAAACTCACTTTAAGACAACAAGAAGAAAAAACAAGCAATTTTAGTTGTGCTGCCTGATGTTTTCACTGCCTCATAAGCCTCAGTGATTGCTTCTGGCACACCAGGCTTGCTTGAAAGAAAAGCTCAGCCTCTTCAGCTAAGGGGAAAGACCACCCTGTGGGGGAGGTGGGTGGTGGAACTCGTCACCATGCTGCTAAACAAGAGCAAGGAATGAGAAATAAACGTGACAGGATAACTGGAAAAGTGCAAGAGCAAGTGTTGGTTCAGGGCAAGAGGCTTCCTCAACACAGGTGCCAAATTAAGGCATTATCTGGACTCCGACAATACCAGTAGAGCTTTATTATCTCATTCTCAAAGCACTGCCAGAGTCCTTAATAAAATATGGAAAATGTGAACAATTTACAGAGTCACTAAAGAAAGAAAAGATTAGCCACTACTTGTGTGTTTATGTGGGGGTGGGGAAACAGTTTCAGTCATTGGGCATCATTATAATTACCTTTGGTTTCAAATACCATGATTCCTTGGAGATTTTTTTTGTGAAAGTTGATGCACCAAAAGCTCACTTAGGATTTCTAGCACAATTAGTGTCAATATGGTCTATCAAATTCCATTTCTCATTAAATTTTAGAATTTATCATCTTCATTTGGTTACCATTATTCCACACTCCTAAACCTCTGCCCCATGAAGGCCAGCCATTTTTTTTTTTCTGGATGGGAATTATTATAAATAGAATCAGAATCTTGGGGCTGTAAATGTGGCCTTAGTCCTTTCATTTTCTCGGAGATAAAAACTGGCAGAAAATCACACATACTGGAAGCAGTAAAGACTAAAGAGTAAAAAGGCAATGGTTTGTACATATGTATATGCATATGGGGATTCTAGAATGCATATGAATGCAGGAAAGATTCAAAGACATTATGAATTCAACGAAGGTTTGACTATCACAGTGAACCATGCAGGAGAGCAAATGCAAGCAAATTGCAGCCAGATGTGTCTGAAAAGAAATGGACACGTACCTACAAACCATCCATCGTCACATTTTTCCATCACATCAATGACATCACTTTCTCTGAGTTCCAGCTCATCTTCATTCCTAGGAGTATAGTTATACAGAGCCTGAAACCTTAAACAGGACAAGCGTGTTTTAATTTTTTTTTTTTTACATCTTTGTGCAATCGAACATAGTGCAATATTCATTTTATTTTTAACATTTCTCTTCTTGTTAGCATTTTAAGTAGTGTAAATCTTTGGCAAGCATGTAAAGTAAATAGAAAAATTTAGGTCTTTTTATGGGAATGATACTACCCAAATAACATTTCGAAACTCACAATGAAGAACATTCATGGAAGATTATAATATTCATGAACTGGATGAAAATATGTTAACATTTATAGGTCAGACCTACATTTTAATGTTCAAGTTATCTAAAGTTGATTATTTAAATACTACATAACAAGCAGAATGCAAAAATAAATGATATTTGTATTATTCAGCTATAATAAAAACAAGAAGGAATCATAGTTTTTTTTTGTTTTGTTTTTTGATATCAGGGATTGACCCCAGGGGCACTTAACTACTCAGCTACATCTCCAGCCCTTTTTTGTATTTTGTTGAGAGACAGGGTCTCACTGAGTTGTCTAGAGCCTTAAATTACTGAGATTGACTTTGAACTAGTGATCCTCCCGCCTCAGCCTCCTGAACCGCTGGGATTACAGGTGTGTGCCACTGAGCCTGGCTGGAATCATTGTTTTAATAGTCATAATCATTAATAACTGATGGTTGCAAATTGAATTTTTAAGTGATTCTAATTGAGATTCACAAAATGTTTCAGATGCACATCTTCTAAATCACTGTGTGGGAATTACTTTAAAAGGGAAGGTTTTTTTTGTTGTTGTTTTTTTTTCATCAGGAGATCTCCTTAAAGCAGATTAATTTAAAATCAGTGCATTTTCTGAGGATTTAGAATTTGCAAATCACCTATGAAGTTGAGTGGATGTAGTCTATGCTCAGTTATCACTGAGTCAATCTTAAATATTAGATTATGGACCTAAATGGCTCTGGGGCTGGGGATATAGCTCAGTTGGTAGAGTGCTTGCTTGCCTTGCATGCACAAGGCCTTGGGTTCAATCCCCAGCACAATCACAAAAAAAAAAAAAAAAAAAATGGTTCTGGAGAAATTGTGTTGAATTTAAAATTTCTTTGGAAAAATTACTAATAGAATTCTATCATTTTTTTCTCTGCCTGAATTCTTTGAAGAGATACATTATGGTGACATTGATTAGTAACAAATTCAGACACTGAATTTGTGGTAACAAAATAGAATATATTTTAATGACTATTAGAATGGACTGGCATTTTGAAAAGTAAAGACAAAAATTATAATAGTTGAGAAGGTCAGGAATAATTTGTTTGGCAGTAAACATAAAAACTTATTCTTAATATTACTAAGTATTACCAGCACTATGAGGGGAATTTTTTAAAAAATTGGTGAATTTGATTCTGTTGCTCTTTGTAACCATTATATAATTCTACTATTTTTTGTAAGAAAATAAAAACAACATTCTAGGGTATTTTGGAGTTCTTTAAAGCACTTTGAAAAAATTGGTAAGAATGAGTTCTGATCAGGAACATTAATGATTTATTTCTAATTGCTTTATTCGGTCAGAAAATCATATTTTGGTAGAATAAACAATTCTATTGCTTGAACTCAAATATGGAGTCATAAGTAAGGAACACTGATCCACTAGTTTCTCTCTCTGTTCATGAGCTTTTTCAGCTGGATGGATATGGATAAAGTTGGCTTCAGGGAACTCTAGGAAAGAGCCACTAAGATACAGTGTCTAACAGCCTCTCTTAAAAAGCCCTGTCCTATACCAAAGCCTGAAATTCCAATAACAGAGATTTCTTTCCTTATTGATACCTTATCCTTCTAGCAAACTTATTTCACCCACTTATGTTCTTTTGAGAATAGTCTTCTGGGTCTTTTGTTGTGGGAGGATTCTGATGGTGGGCCAAGTAAAGAAAGGTAGGCAGGTTCCCAGAGCAGGGGTGATAAAAACTGCCAGGTGTTAACGGAAACAAATCATTTGGATGTTTGGGTAAGGCTAGCCTTGAAAGGAGTAGTCAAATTATTTTGTTGTATGTATTGACTTGGTTTTGAGGCTGGCAAGGTGAAGGAATGCTATCTTTTGTATATTCATGGGGGATACTGCTTTCAACATGGTGTCTTTTCCAGTTTCACATCGGAGGGAAACAGTCATTTCCAGGCTGCTATTTTAATAGGTATATACTGCATCCCTCAGTTTGGTAAAACTGATTCTGTGACTGAGCTTCTCAGGCCTCTTTAGCCTTTACCCAGGCACATCTCCAACCACTTACGGAGACAGGCCTATTTAAGGCCACAAACCCCAGCTGCTTGAAGAATCTCAAGGTCCCCAAAGCTAACAGACCAAAATTGGCAAGAAGTCCTACTTCATTTTTTGTATGATAAAAGCCAGCATGCTTGTCAAAATTTACTTACCATTCTGGTTTAATTAGACCACAAAAAAAAAAAAAAGAAATTTTATGGAAACATAAACAAACCTTCCGGAAATCCTCCTACCTCTGCTGGCTTTCAAAAATCAGTATTGCACGACAGGAAATGCAGTAATTATGATTAAAAATGCTGTTTTGAAAGATGTGTTGGTGAAATGAATGATGGTGGTGGGGTCAGGATGCCTCAGAAATAAATTTGTCTTTATATAGGAAATGCTGAGCCAAACTAGAAACTCTCTGCACAATTTTCTATAACATATTGCACCAAAACTGAATTGTAGTGATATAACATTATATTCTCACTTTTGCTCCAAAACCTAATTTTTAAATGAAGGACATGAAGCAATACCCCCAATGAATCTGTAATCAAAATAGAAATTTAATAAAGAATGTTTTATACATGGTCCAAAGCAGGACTTGGAAAATGTGTCTTCTCCCACATGTGGGGTCTCTGGTTTCTTAATAGCCAAACGACCACAGTTGTCTATGACATAAAACAGTGTAACAGAAGACACTTAGTCATTCATCAACTCCTTAAAAGCTGTTTAAAAGAACATGTTGGTAATGCTATAAACCTAGACATCCCTGGAGTCTATATTTTTAAATTTTATTTATTTATTTATTTTTGTGATGGGATCTTATCATTGTTTGCATCAATAAGAGAAGGAACAGAAACTTCAGAATCACAAATTATATTTGAAGTTTCCCAGTTAAATTCAAATGATTATTTGTGGTGTGGAATTTCCTTCAACTAAAACACCTTTCTGTCTGTACTCTGTGAGAGCCAGTCTCTGTGGGAGCTGGGCTCTAAAGAGGATGCTTTTAGTAAGTTTCAGGTCTAGGATCTACAAGGAGCAAGGGCTTGGTGATGCTCAAGACTCAGGCCGCACAGCAGTTAGAGTGGACGACCTCTCTCATGGGTGAAATGGGGAAGAAAAAGCTACCCAAGAGAGATTCTTAAAGGCAATGTGTAATACCTTCAGGATGAACTAGCTTCTGTATCAAAGAGAGGGAATTTGAAAGGCATATTCCTGGTGCTGGGGAAGTAATACCTTCTAGCTGAATGACAGTGAGTGTTTTGTTTTAATACTGCCGTTTTCAAAAGACACTTCTAAGCATGTAACTTTGGAATGATGGTATTAAGGTAGACTTTAAGTCTACTTTCAATCAAGCAGGTGGAAAAACAATATTAGGACATTTTGCATGTGTCTTTAAAACTGTAGTGACTAGTTACATAACCAGCAGGCAGAGGAAGAGACAAGTTTATAAATCTTGGGAATCACCACAACATTGGAAGGTTTTCTTAGTGCATAAATGAAAACCTTCTCTGTTTTCTTTTAAGCATTGCTTTTGATCTCTGTCATAAAAGATGGAGACCACTGCAATTACCCCTAAGTTAAAAGATCTCATGGAAGTTACTTTGATCTCTTTCACTTGCAAAGTTGTGCTATTCTCTGTTTTGGTACATCAATAATCTATATTGTGGGTCAAGGTTAGTCTTGAATTTAGAAGATAAGAAGAATACTTACGGTTCCCCCCCACCTTGAATGTTTTCATGAGTAAACACAGGACGCTGTGGCTGAAATGAAATGATTTTCAATGTAATCAATGTTTAAACTGGTAATAATTAAAAGATAATTTGGGTAATGGCATGGTACTTTTCTTGACATTTAATATTTCCTGTTGTAAAAAACCAAGAGGAAGAAAAACAACCACCAAATAAAGGGTTTCTGCAGGATTTATAATTAAAATATTTTGAAGGGTGCTTTAAATTAAATGAAAATAACCATGGTTCAAATGTTTTGAACACATCCACAATCTTGTCTTCTCAAGCTTTAAGAATTCAGGGTTTAGTCCCATTGATTTTTCAAAGGTCAGGAATATGGCAAGAACGTGGACACCAAACCACTAGAATAGGCAGTATGGACACCTTCACTCAACCTTATTCTCCAGCGTTTTCTCAAACAAGCAGAAAGTAAGCCACAGTTAGCTTAACAGCAGAATATCCACATTCATTCTGTAAACTTTTCCTTCACAGACAACATTTTCACATACAGTACAGGTGACATCCCATGCTACATTTGAAGTAACATTCTCTGCTCTCAATGTGGAGAAGACACATGCATTTTTAAAATGAGAAACAGAGAACTTTTAATAGAATGCAACAAACAATATCCAGGTAACATGTAACATTTTTACCTTGGAAGAGAAATATTGGTAGAAATTCCCAGTGCACTGAACTCTCAAAAGAGTTTCCTTGCTTTTTAAACTAAGCATCAAGACCAGTATCTGTAATAGATACTTATAATATTGGAAATGACAAGCCTTAGCATCCTATATAGCCACATAAATACTTCAATGAACGAAAATTAATACATTTGTTGAATATGTCAAATTTGTGTAATTGACTACCTAACTGTTACCTTTTAGGGAGAGAAATGCATGCAACTCATTCATAATACGTTTCAAAAGTATTTTCTTTTAAAGGACAGTTACATGGTGAAATAACAAAATCAGAGTTTGCATGGCAGTGACTCTTTATTGATTACGAAATTAATTGTTAGATCCATGTCCTTAGACATCAGGACCAGTTCTCAGGTTCCCATAATTATGAATAGATTATTGAGAGGCTTAAAAGTTTTTCCTGCAGATTGTCTATGGAAATACCACTGGCCCAGGCTTGGATGGGGAAATCTGGGATTCTCTGTACTCAATGATCAGTCCCCTTCCTAAATTCTTTATCCAACTGCTTCCCATCCATGCTATCTGGGATACACTACTAAAATGTCAATTTCTGAATCCATTCACTTGAAGCTATTACCAATAGTATTTCACTCAATAGTCCATGCACATAATAACTTAAAATTAAAGTTTGGGTAAGATTACATACACGTGGATGGCTTAAGGCCTTAAAAGAGTTTATTCACATCAACCAATAGAAAATTGTTAACAGTGTATCTATTATTAAAATGATAAAACATTATTTTAAGAATGATTAAGATTAAACCATTTCCAGCCATTTTTGATGATTTAAAATATTAAATCACTTTAAATGTATAAAGAGGCAACTGTAAGTCATCCGTAAACCTATGTTACATTTCTTCAAGTTCTTTTTTAATTCAACAAAACTTTATATATGTAAAATATCTTGCATGCTGAAGTAAAAGCTGTATATATTGTCACTAATACTATGTAATAACTTCCAAGTCTTCTTTTCTGTTTTCTTTTTCTTTTAAATGACTGCAGAATAATGTTCCCTCACATATGTATCCATATACTATATTTTTTAACCATTTATTTTTGAAGTTTATTGGCCTAATCTTTTTTTATTTTTGCTATTATAAATAACAATGTTATTAACATTATATTCAAAAGCTATTTTCTTCTTTTAAACTAATTCACAGGAGTAAAATTTCCAGTCAAATTACTATTTATTACTATGTATTAAGGCTACATGATTTTGAAAATGTCACATTAATCACTCAAAAGTATTGTGTATATAAAAGAGTCTTTAACGGAGTCTAATTTGCTGTCTTTCAAATAACAACCATGATAGCTACTATTCTTTCAAAAAATTTTCATAGCACCAAACATAGTGTAAGACAAAAAAAAGTTATAGATAAAAATATTATTTGTTCTTAAGAGAAAACGTTTTATAAAATGTTTCATTATGCTCTAATGATGGCCTGCCTATTTCCACATAGTTAAATCATCCTAATATGCTTAAATTGAGTAAATGTTATAATTTATAAAAGGCATTCAGTGTTTGGTGAAAGTGGTTGACTTAATATCATTAAAATGGGAATAACATTTTAAAAATGAAGTTATATATTAAAATAAAAACTCTACTTTCAAAGTTGTTATATCTCCATCACTATAATTCTACCAGTTCACTTTCTTTAATTCAACCTGCTTCTTCAATCATTTACGTGAACTATTCTTTTGACGATTGGATTGGAAGAATTGGGCTGTTGCTGTGTGTGGGTCCCTTAGTTCTGCAGGCCTCAGCATGTCAAGAGCTTGTGTTTCTGGCTGTGTCTGTCAGTAATGTCCTTGCTCTTGACCCTGTTTCCCAATAGGTCTTTTCCTTTCCTTCACATCCTTCAAAACTTGTCTCTGCCTGCCGCCCTTTCTATACTGTTTATACACACAGGCTAGAATTTCTCACAGCCTTAATTAACAGAGAAATTGTGAATCTCTCATAAAACTTTGCAAAACTTCCTTTAATAAGACTCACTCCATGTTAATGGATAACTAGGACCCAATTTGGAGGAAAGGTAACTAATTACCGTTTTTTGAATTAGTTAATTTGTGGGTGTGTATTGCTGGGGATCAAATTCAGGGCCTTGGGCATGCCAGCCAAGTGGTCTGTCATTGAACTGCATCCCCAGCCTGTGAATTAATTTATTTCAAAGGTATTTGACCAATAAGGAGTGGTGTAAAAAGTGTTAGTGGTTGTTTATGAGCAGTTATTTATGAGGGCACATTTGTGTCTGTTTGGGGCATTGACTACTTATTCATTTCAGCTTTCTTATCTCTAAAGTCAAGGAGTTGGATGAGATGAAGATTAATCTTTCTCCGCTTGGGGAACTCATAAAGACAACCACATTTCCTCGGCTGTGTAAAGGGGCCTCTCATCAATCTTAGGCATTTAATTGTCAGAGAGCCCTGACAAGTGACATTTACTGGTTAATTCTCACTTGTCTTGGTCACATAAAAACAATAATGGTAATAATTCAGCTTTGTTTTCAGACAAATAAACCAAAACCCAAAGCTATTGGATAATTTCCTAATGTGACAAATAGATTAGAAAACAAAGTGGGATGATAAATTTTACTAACCCTCTTTATTGTATGAAATATTACTAAGATAGGCTAGGTGGCTCAACTTGGTTAATCAACATCTTAATTTTGTCTCTAAGATAGGTGTTTATGCTTTGTAAAGATATTCAAGCAAATTATCTCAGGAGACCATCTTCTGCTCAGTGTGCATGTACCCTAGAATTGGTGCCATATCTGCCCTTGATTGCCACCTAATGGTGAGTAGGGACAGCAACACACTAAAAGTTGTTTTTGCCTTTGGTCAGCTCTCACCAAATTCCTTCAGCCTGGATTAATTTTGAAAGGATATTTTAAAGACCACAGAATGATGTGGAATGAGCAATCACCTGTTTTCCTAACCATGTTTTTCCCTTCCCACATTTTACATTCTTGAGCAGGAATCACTTGTCAGCAACCGATGTTTTTGGTCTGTGTTCATTTCTATTTTAACTATCTGCCCAGGCATTTCTATTACTCATAACTTCTTAACAGGGCTGAGATAAATATAGAAGAATATATATTTGTGACATTCTGAGAGGCTTACACGAACTGTGAGCTCCAGAAGACGGTTTTCAAGTTAACACATTACAATCACTGCTCTGGAAAATGTGAGCAAGAATTGAATTGTATCATGCCTATATTTCCTTGATGAATCTTAAAAGTAGAATAAAATTTATAAAATTCAGTGCAGCACCGTGCTATTTTTATGGTACCATAAGTATTTAATTTCCCCCTTAGCAATGTAACAATCTCTTTTTTCTTTTAGTGTATTTATTTATTTATTTTGGTTGATGAGTAGTTATTTATTTATTTTTTAATGCTGTCAAAGATGAAAGACAGGTTTTTAACACATGCTAACTTACAAAGCCAGGATCAACCACAAACCACTGCTCATAAAGAAACTGGTTTGACCTATCCTAGATACTCTGGCATCAGAAGAAGATATACTTTCCCTTCTCATGTGAGGTATAGTCTGTCTGAAAACCAATCTATTTATGCTTCTGCAAAGGTATTACTGGAAGATTCATATATATTTGTGACATTCTGAGAGGCTTACATGAACTGTGAGCTCATCTATCTTTTATGACATCATTGTGAAAATAGTATGAATTGTTACTTTAAATATTGACATTGAAAAATCTTTGAAAGCATGATAAATTGTTCTAAAGTTCAGTCAAGTTTTTCCCAGAAAATGTTAATAGCAGTATTTATCAACATAAATGGCTGACAATCTCCTAATAACAGTACCAAGTTTATGTTTATAGGCTTATTTTTCTTCTTTCTTAAATTATGAAAGTAAACACAACTTTGCACAAGTGGAAAGAAAATAGAATATTTATGGTCCACACAAATGTGTAACCTAACTTGCTGTGACCCAAAGCATACCAGTTCATTGACCCATGGGGATTTATGGATGAGCTCTATCAATTTTGGAAAAAGATTACGTGTGTGCGCGCGCGTGTTGGCTTGGAAGGCCATTTAAAGGCGTTTAAGAATCTCTACAAACTGACATTCCTCTCTCTCTATGGCAACAGAAGATTGCTTCAGCAACAAAACAAGGTCTTACTATGCAAAGCAAAAAAAAAAAAAAAAAGCACAAAATGCCATAAACACAGAACAGTATCTATATTTTAAAAAATGGAAAAGGAAAACTTGAAATGAAGCCTTTGGGAACTTGAAATGCAGAGCCACAACTTTGTAATTGGCTAGTGAAACTCAACCAGGGCCTGTTGAACTAACAATGGTAAAAGGAATCCTAACGTATGCACAGATGAGAATTCCCAAACTTCTTGGCTGCGTTCCCCGGAAGTGACAGTTCCATTTAGAATCCATTCACTCTAAAGTGCTGCAGATGGTATAGAACTAAGCAGCTAAAGGGACAGTAATTGGACCTTTAAGTTTGATCAAAGCTGTCAAAAAATTGGGAGTACATGGACTCCAGAGAGCAATATTGGAGATAAAAGGAGCATTGAGTGAATGTAGCACTTGTCACGGGAGCAACAAAACATTTGGGAAGGCAGCTATGTTCACCCCTACACCACCAACACAAACAACACATTCTGACACAAGGATCATGAATTAAAATAAATCTGAACAAATTGACATGGAAGCCGACATCACTGAAAGCATGTGAGTTCAATATATGATTGGCAGCAGTTTTGGGTTTTGCACCATACACAGTGACTAGAAAGCAGCAATTTAGTCCAGAAACATGAGACAGATGTAGAAAACTGCACACACTCCTGCCCTTATTTGTATTGTGGGAAACTGATCCTGTCTTTTTTGCATTTGGGAAACCTGACACACACACCAGGGAAGGCCATGACCCCAAGTCTTAGATCAGGATTTTCCTGTTGATCTGATTTCACTGGTCATCATCAGCTGGTAACTTCCTCTCAAGGGTCTCTCTTCAGCCCTACTTCACTGTCAGATCATAGCAAGGACAACTGTGGAAGAGCCAGCCCACTGAAAGGGACAGTGGCCCGGATGACTGTCACAAGGTGGGTGCGATCTGACCCTACCCTGTGGGAACTGCCGCCAGGTGAGCTGCAGGATCTCTTAGACATCACTGGGCTACGAGGAGGTTTACCCAGGACAAATATCTCGCTTTTTAAATCAGCCTGGAAAAGCCATAAGAAGTTAGTTAGTTCTCATCTTCATGATGCAGTCTCAGGAGGAGTTTTTCTATCTGGGTCTTCCCATGCACACCCAGCATGCCAAACTCCCGAATAACAGCAGAGCAGGAAGGGTTAAGAGTCTGCAGACAGCTGTTCTGAGGGCTCCACACAGTGTCTACACTCAGGATCAGAGGCTGCATTGATATGGGGCTCATAGGCACAGCAGAAAAAGAATTAGAGAGAGAAGCTGGCATGGGGAAGGAATTTGAAAGCAAAGTACATGGCTATGAATACAAAGTAAAAATTATCTTTTTTTTTTTTTTTTTTTTGTCCTGGGGATTGAACTCAGGGGCACTCAACCACTGAGGCACATCCCCGCCCTTTTTGTATTTTATTTAGAGACGGGGTCTCACTGAGTTGCTCAGAGCCTCACTATTGCTGAGGATGACTTTGAACTCATGAGCTTCCTGCCTTGGCCTAACTTTTTTAACAGAGTACTTAACTACTGGGTTAAAAATACCCTCAAATCTGACCTGTTTTCTTTGTGCTTATTGAACAGATACAAAGTGAGACGGAAACTCATCAAATTTCTTGGAAACTGTCAGGAGGAAAAATTTTCTAATAGCATGTATAAGAAGAGATGTTTTTTAATGGTGAAATATAATTAAATACTAAATATTGCCCTAACTAAAGCTTGATTGTTTCAGCATTTTTTTTTTCAAAGTAAGATCTTCACTGTGACAGTAAATAAGCCAACCATGTGTGGGAGTAGATTTTACGAGGGGGCAGGATCTAGTAATATAGGGTCTGGCATTTGATTTAGCTTAAAAGACCTTTAGTAGAACTAAAAGACGTTTAAATAAAACGTGTGGTTTTCTCATTTAGGGGAAACTTAACAATAACTATTTATAATTGTCCTCAAATCAATAGTTTCTTGGGATGAAATGAGCTTGGCAGGTTTGCTTAAGGGTGGTAGCGGGAGTGTCTGATGTTCTCTGATATCCGTTTTCTTCTTTGCCTTCAGTAATGGGACCCAGGATGTTGGACAAGTTCATGGCCATTCTGAGTAAAGATTACATTTCCTAACCTTCTTTGTACTCAGATGTATTTGTATGGTAAGTTCTGAAAGATGCAATACAGGTAATTTCTGGGTATTTCCTGGATTTACTGGTGACTATGAAGCCACCATTCCAATCTGGAACATTCTACGTTTATGTCAGAAATGTATTTTTGCCAGGTTGAAGCTAAAACTATTTTGAGTTTTCTGGGACTGCAGGAATTTTGATTTTGATGAATACAGTGGTTCTATAATATCAATGCTGACAGAGGGGGGAAAAACTATGTGGACAGTAACAGCTAAAAAGATCAGTTGAACATAGAATTGGAGCCAAATTTTGTGTTGGAAACTGCTCAAGGGGCTCAGATTGGATGGGGTTGCTTTAGGATGATGACGTCCCTGTGGGACCATAAGAAATGAGTTTCTTGGAAGAAATCCAAGAAAAAACTGTTCTCTATCTTCATTAAGTGCTTTCATTGCAATTTGAATTCACATTCTATAAGTCTCTTCTACAAAATATTCTCTAGGATGTAATGAAAAGTACATCTCAGAGAGGATTGATTTTACAGTAATTTTTATTATAAAAACTAATTAATTTGAAAACATACTGAAAAAACTAGGGAAAAAATCTTGGATTTGGATTATTTATACATCAAATTTACAATTTGTTTATCTTTCAACATTCTATAATCCATAAAGTGGTAGTCAATTTTACTTTTATGGATTGCACATGACAGATTTTTCATGGTCTGAGAATATAATTTTAAAGAATAAAATGACATTGAATTAACCTAGGCTGAATAATGGCTGATAAGGGTTGATAAAATTGTTATTGCAATTATTTCATGCATTCTCTGCTGTACTTATTAAGATTATTAAAGTGGTATTTTCTCTTTGATTTCAGTGCTAGGTTTCTTTCTTTGCAATAAGTGTAAAAATTCAGAGTTGATTCAATTTGTATTTATATTTACTCAGCATGAATAACTCCAGCCAACTTATATTCTTTCTATGAGTAGGAAAATAGATTTATAAGGTTTTAAAAAAAACTCAATGGGAGATTAAATATCAAGATTTGCTCCCCAATGTAAGATAAAATCTTATAGAAAAACATTTACATTTTCTCTGGAGTTAGTTATTTTATGTAGTTATTAAAGTATTCTTTTGATATCTCTGTTCTCTCATATCATTCTATAAGCATCTGAGACCTGAAGAATTTATGAGATGAACTAGGTTCTTGCAGGAGAATAAAACTTTCTAAATTTTAGTTTTGTCCTTGATGCTACAAGGTCAAGTCCTCTGTCTGGTCTCTAAGTTGGAGAACTCAGATTCTAAGGTTCCTTTTTCACTCACTGATAAAGCTTAAAGGCCTGATGAATTAGTACTAAAAGGCAAGTAATAAATACATTAGCTTTAAAAATAAAACCACAGAAAGCAAGGGAGACAATTCTTAGCCTTAGACATTTTATAAAGTGGCATTATAGTGCTTAAATTTTTTTCTAATTATTTTCTGCCAGTAACGGTAAAATCTCTAAGAACAAACAGCAAATAGTCTTTTAAGTATTTCAGTTTTCAAAAGTTCCTTCCACACCTAAATGAATTCACAGAGATGGACTGTTCTGGTGGAGGGATGTGATAACACAGATGTTGAAGACTGTATAAATGGCACTGTTCAGGTGTTGGAGTTCCCTAACATAAAAACTTGGCTCTACCAAAGTTTTAACTTTCATCTGCAGAGACCCCCATTTCATGTTCAAAAGACTAAATATGAGGATGAGTTCTCATTTGAAATCTGTCACCTTTGCCAAAAGGGAAATATTTCAGGATCTTTCTGAGCCTAGAAGCAAATCTTTTCTGTGACGTACTGATTTCGTGTTGTGATGATCATTATCTCTTTCCAAGGCCAGTCATTAATTTTGTTAAAAAATTTTAAAAATATGATCTTAAGGAAGAGTTCAATACCAACAGAGTTGCCAGCCTGCAAGTGTCAGAGATGGATGCTTTGTCAATTGCAACAGTAGAATCATCCTACCTACATCCCCATTTACTCCACCTTTGTGAAAGGTCTTGGCTCAAGACAGTCGATGACAAAGACCATTCTGCTCTTAGGCTCTGCTGTTCCTGCTGATGGGTGGGAGGGAAATGATGGGAGGTAATGAATTTACTAGGAAGTGGGAGAGAATAACAGGCACAAAGCTTACACCTTTGAATGGGATGGTTCTCAAGCTGACTCCCAATACAAAAATCTAATGATTGTTTTTTATGATAATATAAATTTTAGTTTGTTCTTCTCTTCAACCTGGGTCTAGTTACTATGAAGATATAACTTCTAAATTTTTGAACAGAGGCCATGCTATCATGTTAAAAGTTAGCAATCGGTACTCATATAACTTTTTAGAGCTTGTAAGATGCCACAGATTCTAAATGCATACATCTACTTGAGTTGATTTAAAAACATGCAGTGAGCCACACTCAAGACTCAAGATGCAGTTACCTTTAATTTTGGTGAACTTATTTCCTGTTGATAAGAATATTTAGGGAGGAGAGGAGAGTAGGGCTGGGTAGGCTGAGAAAGTGTAGAGACCAGGTCAGAAACAGAGGCCAAGGGAGAATGGAATGAAGGGGAGGAAGGCAGATGGCTGGGAAAAGGTGTAGACGCTCCATCTCCCGAAGAAAATGAAGGTGGCTTAAAGATTGAGGAAAAACAAGACGTGATTATTCACATATCCAGAATGAGGCTGCAAAGTCTTTAGAGAATATTCTCCAAACTGAAATTAATTTTGAAGTTATCCTGGGAAGTGATATTTATGATACATTCTTGCTTTGTGCTTTTTCTTTTGAATTTGATTCAGAAGTCCCAATGGGTATAATTGGTTTAAATTGGGGGTGAGGAGATAACGTATGTATTCTACCATTTCATGTTTATTTGAAAGCTTCTACTACATGTGAAGACAAAAACTATCTACAACCCTGTAATGACCCTTTGTAACTTGCTTGGAGAGTAGGTCACAAACTCTAAGTATCACTTTAGAAACAAGAGAAGTGATGATCTCTCTGTGTGATGTGAACTGGCTACTGGGCTCCCCCCATAAGGCATATGCCAAGCCTGGTGTACTGTTTGCAGCAGGCAGATAGCCTGTGAATTGAGCCACTTCCTGTGAATTGAGCCACTTACCTAAAAACATCTTAATACTGATTATATTGAAGGGAAAATTAGTTATTAAAGAACTCCTTTAGAAACATGTTTAACTTAGTGAATTCTCTCTGTGATTGATGAAGTAGTGTGTCTGTTTTATGCAAAGGAAGCATGGCAGGGTTTTTATTTTGGAAATAGAGGAATCATGGGAAAAAAAGTAACTGGCATAGAAGCATATTATGAACCTTTCTTTTTATTTTATAGTTTCAGTACTTGCAAGTAATTATATTTTATTTTTTACTTGCAGAATACACATTTGAGAAATCAATTTATTTTTTTAAAAAAAGAGAGAAAAGTGTACGCATGAACGTTTTAGGGAATTTTCTCTCTTTGTGATTAACGCTGTTGTTTGATGTCCTTTGTTTGTATGAAGAAGTTGTGGAACATAATTCTTAAGTAGTTACCAACTTGAAGACAATGACCTCTCCAGAAAAATCAAAAAATGATGGAAGGACTATTTGTCTTTTTATTTATTTTATATTATTATAAAATATAAAGTTATATTTTATGTTATTTTACTTTTTTGCAAAGTGCCATCACATGAGAGGTGTAGTCTACTGTTCTTTTGTCTTGGAATTGGACTGATCTGTCTTTGCATCAGCTTCCTCATCTATATAGTGCAGATAATAATATTTCCCATCTCATTGGGTTTCAAAAATTAAAGATGTAGAGTGTTTAGAAAACTGCCAGTAAGAGCTTCAACATTAGCTATTGTTATTAAAACTGGAAAACTATAAAAGGCTACATATTACAAAGACTTTTAAAATGTGAATTTGTACTCATAAAGAAATAATCTGGTGCTGGAATTATATATTTGCACCATTTTATTAAAATATGGAGTGTTTTCATTCATTCTTCCACCCTGACTCACACAGTGCTTGTTCTTTTTGTAATGAAACCTGTTAAGGCAGTATCAGTAGATATTTACTAATGTGATTAACTATCCTAGCTTAGTGCAGTAAGCCTGGTTAGTTGTTGGGTTGTTAGGCAAAGTTAAATACCTCATGACTGGATTTTGCTGCTTTGCTGTCTTCCTTAGAGATCCTAGGATCTGTTGGGATGCCTACTGGATATTTTAGGCAGCCATGTTTCTCCTTTTCTTCCTCCTCTTCAATGTGCAGCTCTGGTGTCACCTCTGTGCCATCATGGCCACACCACAAGACACCGTGTTCTTGAGATTCTGCTGGCCACCTCTGGATGCCTGACACAACCCCCTCACAGATTTCCTCATCTTCCTCTCCAATGACAGGGAGGGTTTCAGGCAAGGAACCCACATTGGTACAGGCAGAGGACACAAATTTATCACCCAGTACTTCAAGAACCCTTTCAGGGTCTGAAAAGCCTCTCTTCATTTTCTTCCCATCTGCAAACTTGTTTCGGGTGGTCTTTATGGGATCCTGAAGTGGCTTTGTATTGTAAGGCTGGGCTGCAACTGGGGTCACGCTCACGTGGGGGGAAGGTGACAGAGAGTGACGTGAGTCAGCAGCTAGGGATGCTGAAGGCAATGGAAGGAGAACAGGAGGCTCCTCCTTAATTTCAAGGATGATCTCCTCCAGGCCATTTGGTTTGGCTTGGTCACCTGGTAAGGTTAGAGCGCTAAACTTTTCTAATTCATCCAAGAAGTTGTCCAGAAAAGAAGATGGTGTTGGGGACAAAGAGTTTGCTGGTGGATACCCCTCTGTCGGGGACAACCACTTCTGGCCATTTCTCTGGAAGGCTCCTTTGTCTGAGCCAGGTGAAGCTTTGTGCATGGGAGGAAGGGCTGGTTCGCTGGAAGCCAACTTAGAAATGAGCAGGGATTATGAAGTTAAAAAAATAGGCAAATAAAATAATAATAATAATGAGTAAGAACATAGAGACAGAGAAAGGCAGGAAAGGTATGGTAATGAATATAAAAATTAGTCTATGTTTAACATGGACATGGATTTTAAGATATTTGGAATATACCTAGATTGGAAGAAATTGTGTTGAAATTTAAATACATACAATCCATTTATGCTAATTTAAGAAAGCAACTTGAACAATAAAACACTACTCGTTTTGGAAAAGATTGTGTTACATGAGAAGATAAAGTGGTCATAGAGTATGAGGACTGACATCAAAACCTTTAAGAGATTTAATTTAATAGTGTACTTCATTTAGATGATATGCAGTCTTTTAAACTGTGATTCAAAGTTATTGTGGAAAATGTTAATGTAAAATGAGAACCAACAGCTAAGGGTTTTTTTATGTGTGTTTTATTCCTTAAGTTTATCTACTGTTCTTGCTTCCTTAGGCATTGCCCAATCTTTTGAACTCTCAAGACTTCCTTACTCATGTTTTCAAGGTCATTATGATACATCACATGAAGTATTATGGACCATTATACATGAACATATTTCTAAATGAATAAGTTCCAAAAATACGTTTCAAGAACAGAAACCCATAACCAGAATAAATTGAATTCATATAACTACTGCTTCAAATTAAAAAAAAATATCCAAAGTAACTGTTTATACAGAAAAGAAGAAGATGCTAATGGAATAAACTTCTGCTTGTCTCCTATTCTGCCTCCGAGGCTTGACATTTTATATAAGCCCAAGGGAGTATAATTTATGAAGCTTAATCTTAATGTATATATATCTTAATATTACTGATGTATTTTGGATATTTAAACAAAATGGTAAATTTGAATTTTTGTGCAAGTTCATGAAAAGTAGTTTAGAAGTTCTTGCTTAGCAATGTCTCATACATTGATCTATCTGTGATGGACAAGAAAACGTGCTATACGTATATTCTGATGTTTTAGTGCTTTCCAAGTAGATGACTTGTTTGGAAACAAAAAATTGTCAAGAAAGATTCTGGAGATGCACTTTCTAGTCGATTGTTTAGGACAATACTTCACACATACAGCGAGGACTCTAGGACCTTAGGCCTTAGTATGTGTAAGTACACATCAAATTCCCACCTAACTTTTGATTTCTGTGGCTTATAATAGGAATGGGACATTAGATGAATTTATTTAGTTTTTCTTTTTTTTAAAAAAAAGAAATATGATGTTGTTTCAGCAAGGAGTACCAAAAATGGCACAAAGTCTCATAAAACTCATCTGAGCATGTTACTACAGGGTACTCTAAGCTGCTTAGCACTTGATACAAAGTGAGCCTGTACATGTGAACTGTGTGGAAATCCATTCCTGTTAAGTCCTGTAGGTGTTGAATTTTAAGTGCTCTACTACTGAGCTATACCCCCAACCCACAGATGCTGAATTTTCAACAACATATAAATTAAGTCTTATTTGAGGGTCTATAGAAGTTCATTTATTGTTTAGAGTTCTATTTTATGGTCTTTAGTATATATAACAAAAGTTTTTAATAATTAGATTTTGAAAGTCTTTGAAACTCACAATAATTCAAGATAACTACTTCTGACTCTCTTTTATGGATAGGATTATTATTTGGGTGAGAAAGAAGGATCTTTAAATTCCTTATCATCATTATTATCATTATACTACATTACACCACTATTACTATTGCTATCTGCTACTACTATTATAAGTGCCATTTGTACCATAGACTTGGTTATATCAAAAGTTGTTAGGTATTTCAGAATACCTATATCACAAAAATGTACCCATAATACAAAAGTCATACTAGTATTCTACTTTCTTTCTAATGGGATTCTATTGTACTAAAAGCAAAAATATCAGAAATAATATCAACTTACATTTGAGTCTCCCCTAAGATGGAAATACTATGTCAAGAAACATCATTTAAAATTGTCAAAGGGTGATTTGAAAATCATTAATGAGCTCCTATTTGCAAATATCAGTTAGAAAATAAAAGATGTGACATTACTTTGAGTCTCATCATTTGAAAATATCTAACATTTCTCTTCCTGAAAATAACTCAGTGCAATGCTATTGGGAATTTCCCTCCATTAAGCCAGTAATATCATAGCATGGATCCCCAGTTGAAATGAAACCAGTAAGTATTTCTTTCAAATTATGGACATAAACTTTCAATGTATTTATTCCCAGCAATGAGAATAAACTAATTAGTTATTAATGAAATTTGTGTACTTCTCTATTTAAAACCTGGTATTATAGAAAAAATGGAAAATACCAATTTAAATTATATTCACAAAGATTAAAACATTATAATCTAAAATATTATATTGTTTTCATTAATTAGGGGACATGGAAGTTCTTTAATTTTAAATAGACCTGTATAGGGACATGATTTTCTTCCTTATACAATTTTATTTAAAAGTACAATTGCTTGAGATTTATCTGGCAGTTTTGTTAAATTCACTGATGGTGGATAAGGCAAATATTTGAATAGAGATTCTTATCTTTTCTCTTTATCAGTAAGAACTACTGAAGTAAGAATGTTGATCTTTAAATGCTAAGTCCTAAGTGGTAAAATAAATATACTCAGGAAGATTCTGGAAAACCTCACAATCAAACAAAACTGGAATTGAGAGTAATTTCCCACAACTGAAACCCAATATTTTAAAGGGGATTACAATGAGTAAAATGCCTACCTTTAGACCTTTAAAAGAAGGTGTTTCTTAAGAACACATTCTATCACTTACTTATTTAAAATTCTCCTAAGTCTCTTTTTTCAGGAGTAGTTTAAGTTTCTGGGGACATGACTTTGAAATGATCTTGCATTGCATATACTTCACGATTTCATAATGGCTGATATGCTGTTTTATTTTGCTAACTCTAGATGGTTTACTTTTCTACATCCTAGCCTTGATCTCAAGCAAAACAATAAATTATGTAACAATAATTTTTGAAAATGTTGGCAAGTATTTAACAGTATTTTGGAAACAATTCTTTGGCAATTGAAAAGTTTATACTTTGAAGTCAATTAAAAGGAGAAAGAAACCCCAAATTACCATCCATAAAGAAGAATACATTGTAATTCAACAGAAAAATAAGAAAAAAATTCACATTGTGAGTAAAGACAGTAGGAGGACAGCTTTTACTTGTTAACAAATTCAGGAAGTAGAGTCTCTTTTAAATTGCATACTGATATTCCACACTCATATAATTGTTTCAAAATGAACCCTAAAAGTATGTACAACTAAAAGAGAAACTAATAAAAAATAAATTGCATATGGAGATAGATAATAATCTTCAGCTACTAGCTCAAAGGAAATAGTAGAATTGGCATATACTTGCCCCCAAACTAATGAATAAATTTGAAGACTTCTAACAATCTACAACATTTTTATTCAAACTAATAAGCCAAATTAGTCTCTAATTTTTAAAAGAATTACTTCGTTCTTTTTCTATAAAGATTTGAATGAGATTTTTGTCAATCTAATAACCATATGTTCTTGAGATACACCATCTTGGGATATACATGGAATTTTATGAATTTTATATATATAAATATTTATATATATAAATTGTAATTGTATCTGCCTATAAAATAATGTATCATGATACAAAATTTATATTTATATAAAATCAAACTTCAGAAAAAATAAAGTTTAAGAATATATATAAGAAATATAGATAAATACCATATAAAGTTTTATGATACTAATGTTTTCTCTTCCAACATTTTAACTTGAAAACAAAATTAGCAAAAGCAAGCATTAACCCTTTATGCCAGAACCTATTTGAGAAAGATTAAATGGCACTCACATGGGTGGAACCAGAGTATGTAAATCCCATCTTTGCAATTCATGTGATAGTCTGATCCAATGTCTAAAATCACATACTAGTTATCTTACTACCAGCTCCCAAATTTAAAATGACAGAATATTCATATGACAGAATATTTTCTTACCTTATTGGAACTTAAGCTGTGGATTCTATCACTAGAATAGCTGTGGGGTATTGGAGGGTCAGGGTATTCCTCAGCACCTTTTGTATTCTTCTTGATGACTTCTACATAGGAAACAGGGAAGATGCCTTGTCTGTTGGTTCCTGGAATTTTACCTTCATACCAGTTTTGATCGACTCTTTTAAGAAGAATAATTCTATCTCCCTGTAATGAACATTAAGAAAATGCATTATAAATAGGCACGCAAAAATATTAAATGCATAACTGCTATTGTTTCTTAATTAACAAGTTTTACACTTGGGAAAGTTTTACACTTCTGGGTTTTGCTTAATTAGGGGAATGCAAGAAAGGTCTTACTAGAAAAAAAAAACCAGATTATTGACATTCATGCAACTAAACCATCCATTTATAACATTAGAATCTTCCCTAAGGATGATTGGTGGTTGTGGATACGCTTATATATGTTTCATACTGGTACTGTGTGCAATGAGTTATTTCAAAAAGCAGACTAATTTAAAGGTAATGTTTTAATGACAGTAGCAGCATGCTATCTTTGTCAAATTCAAAGGAATGAGCTTCTTCAGGAAAAGTTTCAGAAAGTATGTCTAAAATGGTTGCAGAAATTGTCCTCAGGAAGGGATAAAGTAGAATAGCACACCATTTTTCTTCTTTAATCTATGTGAACTAAGTAGGGACAAAGAGTGAATGCAAAAGACAGGGGCAAAGAGAGAACCCTAGAATATCCACAGCAGTGGCCAGGACTGAAATCGCCCGGCTGTGTCAGGACTGTGTCAGGACTGTGTCATGCCAGCATCCTTTCTGACTGGTGGCCATGCCATACTGGGCATTAAATATTTGAATAGAGTCTTAGGCTACTGTCTACATTCATGATTGCTCTTCCTGAAGTGACCAAGCCAATGCCATAGATCCTAATTTAAATTTTGTCTCAAACCCACACATGGCCCAGAACTAAGTAGGCAGGCTACTGTTAAGCCACAAACCTGCAACTGCACATACAGAAGTTTAGACAACTGCATCTGAAAGAGTGGTGGAAGTGACATTGGTTAAATAGTTTCAGGACAGTAGGAAGCCATACTTCAAGTGCTACACAATTGAAGGTTCTCTTTTTTGTCAAAGTGCTGGATGGTTTATTTAACATGTCCTACCATCACTGAGTAGAACTTAATGATGAAAAATGAATCTCCCCAAGTCTTAATATTGCCCTGATTTTCTAACACACCAAGAACACGCAGTCACCAGGCTATTGTGTGAGCTATGAGATGTACTTAGAAAGCCTTTCTCTAAAATAAGAAACTGAAGATAATACAGTACATGTAATGCTGGGAGGCTAGCAGAGAATCAGCTGATGATGCAGAATTAGGACTGAAATGAGAGAATGAAATGAGGTTCTGCCAGGTCCAGAACTTTATTGCATATGGAGCAAGATTCCACCCAGCAGGCCTGGGAGGTTCCAGACCATTCTAATTAATATTACTACTTCTCTGTATTGTATACAGAAGTGGTCATCTCAAACACATGTATGTCATTGTCCAGCAAACAATAAAAATAGTTCATTTAACATTCTCAACTATGTGGAGTGGCAAGTGAAAAGAGATAATGTTAAGAAGAGACTTCAGTATTGGTAGGTTGCTAGAGAAATTTGGATCAGGCCCAGAGAAGATGTCAAGGAAGCATGTCAAAGAAGCATACATGGCTCTTCATTTTTTTTAATGTGGTGCTGAGGATTGAACCAGTGCCTCACATGTGCTAGGCAAGCATTCTACCCCTGAGCCACAACCCCAACCCCAGAGATGACTCTTGAAAAAGAGTTTCTCCCAGAAAGGAAGGATCTTGAGGGATATCCTTGATTCGAAGATGGAGAAAAATAAGTATTGGACACATATAAAAAATTGAATAATAAGGTAACAGAATATTTTGAAGTGTATTAGAGTGCTTTCTCCTTTTGAAGTCCTGCATGTATAACTTCTTGATATTCAGAGATGCATCCCTTGAAGAAGATTTGGGTTCCTGCTTCCCAGACCTAAGTCACAGAGGGAATCTGAGAGTTCTGTATCCTACAGGGTGGCCTCTGGAAGGACACTAACTCTAGGCAGCCTCAAGAATTTCTTCACAGAAAATGGAGACAACACAAAAATATCTAAGGAAGAAAATAACCTATTTTAGTTTTAAGAATATACAATCTTTTCCAAGGCTCCTATAAAGGAAAATATCTGGGTTACCTTTCTCAGTGAGAGCTCCACGTTGGTGTCTGCATTGAAATTGTATTTGGCTATAGCTTCTCCAATCTCTCCTGGCTGGGCTGGGGGTGGTGGTCTTGCAGGCTGTGCTTTTTCAGGAGGTATGAGTTTCTATAAAGAAAAAGAGTAATTTATTCCTGAATTTATGGTGACCAGTGAAACCTCTACCCTCAAGGAGGGAAGGGAGAAGGACCCACCTCCACATATGAGATTGGAAAAATGCCCACTCTTCCATGGTGCTCTCCCTCATACCAATTTTGATCAATTTTCCTGAGGATGTAGACAGTATCTCCTTTCTTAAATGACAACTCCCTGGAAGAGAGATGTTTAAATGGTCTTTTTCTTGGGATGCACAGCAATTGTTCTTAAGACCCATACCCTCATTAGATCTGTATTTTGTAAATAAAATTCCCATGTGTAAAAAATCTGTCAAGCTCTGTTAGGTGAGGATTTTCTTTGCAAATTCATGAACTTCACTTGTAACTTAAGAAATGCTTTTGAAATGATATAAGTCATAGGAAAATTACAATGCTATTAATAATTCTGAAGGAACCAGTTAATTCGTGGATTTTGGAATTGGGAATCAGGTCTTGCTTGTTTCACATCCCATTTCAACATGTATCTCTTACTAGCATAATTAAAGACAACTTAAATCATATGAAGAACACTTATCTGACTTACTTAGATGTCTGAGCCTTAAAATCATAAACAGCTTTAGCAGGCAATTTCTGAAAAGAATGGTAAACAGTTAGCACCAACTTAAAATTCGGATTTCCTGTAAGAGAATAGTTTTACATGCAATATAAAGCCTCAAGGAATGATTAAACATATATGATGTACATCCTATATGCAATTTACAAATAAATCCATTAGTTCTGCATTTAGATTTAAGTTATAAGAGCAATATAATAGCTGGCCTCTTCACTGTCATATTTCAAATTAGGTACCATAGTAAATTAATGTCATAATAGGATAATAAAATGCTCACAGAAGATCCTGACCTAGATGTAACTTTAGCTATTGCAAAGGTTTTTCCTGTGGATAACTGTGGCAGGTCACTATGGACTGAAGAAACTCTGAATCATAATAAAAGGACCAGAAGACATGAAGGAAATCATCACCCCTTTTACTGCTAATTAACATGTTAGCCAAGAAATATTAGCCCAATTATCACGGAGAGGTTAGTTAATGGTTGAAAGTAGAGTCACAATCATCCTGTGTCTCCAGAAGGGTTCAGGAATCCTTCAGCACACTCAACCAGCTGTTCATCTTTTAGTCATGATGTGCTCTGACCTGTGCCCAGCCTGAAACTTTGGGCCCCTGGAATCTACCTGAGTCACCCTGTACCATATAGTTAGCAACACTGGCTTCTTCCCCAGGAACCAATAATCCTTTCCTTCTATTCTCTTTCCCTGTGATTCTAACAAACTTCAGGAAACTTGGACAATTCCTGACTTCACAAGGGTTCACAGGTGCTGGACTATATCAGATAGATACTTGTAACATCTGCAGTGGCTGCCAGACCAAGTCTAGCTTTCAGTTTCCATCAAGTCCACCTGTCTCCAGGGCAGTTTAGGAGCAAGAGCTCTAGCCCTGGCTGAGCCATGGACAAAGAATCAGTTGGTACATTGTTCCCAAGATCAGTGTCATTAGAACTAGTTGGTTACGTTTTTTTTTTTTTTTCATTTGTCTCCCGTCCCCAACAGGAATCCTCTCTAACAAAGTAAGCCAGCAAAAAATGATTTATATGGTCAGTATTGATTTGCAACACAGCTGACCTAGGGTTGCCTCCTAGATCTAGTGGGCCAGGAAATGGTGCATAGGAAACCCCCTCATTCCACAAGGCAGCTCAGCTCAGGGCTCTTTCAGACATCAACTGTTACTTCATGAGTGTCAGGTCAAGACCCAGGGAGGCCTCTCTGCCAAAGCTGGTCACAACCAGGGAAGAACTGCAGCTAGGGTCAGAGTGCAAACTGCTCGTCATCTTATTTCAAGCTCCCAGGAAAACTTTCTAGTTTGTTATTTTCATGATTCAGTCTGAGTTCTTTATTGGTTTTGGATGTAAGTGTGACTGGCAAGTGCTTTATCAAGTAGGTCATGAGAGAAAAGACTACAGCACGAATCCACCAACTACCTCTTTTTCTGGAGTTGCTCTTCTTTCTCTTGGCGTACTCCTCCCCAAGTCAGTCAAAGTGGATGAGTAACTTCTGGGAGACTCGCGGTCTATTGGAAAGGACAGGGCCCGTCAGAGTGAGTATCCACTTCATTAAAAGTTGACTTTTCACCCATTTTCCCACATGCCAACTATAATTGCCCCCAAATTTTGTAAATAGAAAGTTGTAATGTAAGACACCCCAAAATAAGAACGTTTCAAAAGGAATAATATTTGAGGTAGCAGGGTTATTATAATCACAAATATGTAAACGAAATCGTGACATTGCTGATTAATTATACTGTAGCACCTGGTGTAGGTGATTCATAATTATAGAAAATTTTCCGTATCAAAAAATTTTTAATACTTACTATTTCTATTCTCTTTGCTGCCGATCTATAATTAACATCATAAGGTCTACAGTGGCTGGAGTATTTGAAAGTAACAACAATTTGTGGAAACAGAAACATTTTGGGGAACAACATTTTAAGAAGGCAGAAATGAAAAAGAGATAAAAATCAAAGAAAGTATGTTGATGACAAGATAAAGTAATGTCCCTTCTCTTCTCTCTTCCTCTGTTTTTAAATACTTGAGTCTTAAGTCATTTTCTTTATTTACACCTTTCTTTGGGCTCAGCTGATAAATTACAAAAGGGATAAGTGAACTCACATTAGTTGTCAAATTGCTTATGAAATATTGAGGGGTTTTGTTCACCTTAGCAAAGTATAAATAATTGCATTACAAAATTATGACTGCAAATGTTCCTTAATATTTTCTTATTCCTTACACATTTATGTGACTTACATATGGAAATGTAACTAAAGGTTGAAAGTGTTCCAGTAGTCTGTTCATAGAATTTTACCAATGTTAACTGGGTCAAAAGTTGTCAATTCTTTTTCTTGTTCCTTTACTAAATTTAGTTAAATTAATTCACAAGAAGCATTAAAAATAAAATTTATTTTATCCTTTTGTGAAATAATTTAAAATGCAGACCCATAAGAAGAAAACACTGTTTGGAGGATTCAGCTACTTAGACAATATAGAAGAATTAAATTCCTACAAATGGTGTCAGTTGCATGATGGATGAGGATAAATTCTGAGTTGTAAGTTCCAAAGTTTTTAGGTTTAGAAAGGTGATGCGGCCACAAATATTTCAGGTATAACTTAACTAGTTATTTTCATTTATACTACAGGATCATGTGGAGTATATTTTACATTGTAAGCTAACATACTTTTATTAACATGACACTTTCATGATTATAAATTCAAAATTTAACTTTACAACCCTTGGAATATAAACTATTTCTTGCTTGGCCTAAACGTAATTGTAAAGTGACTATTTCATTAAAGAACAAATAAGTAATAATATGTAGCTCAAAGCTCTGTCAAATTGTGTTTCAATAATGTATCTGCACAAAAATATTGAAAGATAATTACATCAGAATATTAGAAAACTAAAGATTAACTAATTTATAAAAAATAGATTAGAATAATTCTTAGGGAAAATTTCAAATTGTAGAAACTGATTTTAAAAATTCTTATCTATTGTTTTAGAAGCATGCTGTATAATATGAATGAGAAAAAGATAAATAGTAAAGTAAGTAAATAAACAAGCTACATCAGTTACATCAATGTGAAACTTAAATTATATGCTTTTTGACTATGGAAATTATATTTTCTATTATGAACTCTGAAATATTAGGAATTTGAGTCCCCTTTCTGTTACGTCCACATCTGTATAACCTTGGGCAAGCTGCTTGTATTCTCTGGGCTTCAATTTCCTCAACTGTAAAATAATGGTTTTGACAACACCTATCCCATTGGTTTGTGCCAGTTGTTACTAGGTTATAGATGTGCAGCACCTAGTACTGGTAGTACCTAGTGTATACAAAGTTCTCTATTGACATCCAAAGTTTCAGCCTGAAATGTTCACTCTAGTCTCTTAAAATTTACATAATAAGCAGATGTACTTTAAAATTAAAGAAAAGAATTTGTTACAAATATTAAAAACACCCTATGCTTTTAAGTTATGTAAACTTCAAAAAGTCTGCATTTGAATTGCTATTTGTCCTTGTGTTGCCACTTTAAAGTTATCTATGTAAAGGGATTTGGAGTCACTTTTAACCTAGTCTAATTCAAATTTTGTCATAGCAAAAGTAAATAAATTAATGGAAAATAAATAAAGTAATGGAAAAGAAAATGAATACACTGATCGATGGAAATGGGACATTTATATATACAGCTTAAAGATACATTCACAAAAATTTCATCCTAATTGTGCCCTTTCAAGGGAGAAAATTATTAAATAATCCTAATCTCTTTAGATGTCTACCAATTACTATTCATACCTTCAGTTTTGCTTTCTGAATGCTTTCACATAATACCTTCTATACAGAAAGTGAGCAAATTATTTGAGTGAATGCTCTAAAAATTTTAAAAATAATATAAAAAATGATAAAAGGCTATTTATTAAACTATTGGTTTTGATTCATTTTATGGAGAAAAGAGATCTCTGAAGGATACTGATATTCAAAGATAGTTTCTGCCCTAAAGTATTCCTTTTAATTAAGTAAATCGCTTAATTTGTCATCACAATGTAACAGTTGTTGGAAGCCTGGTGCTAAGCTACAACGTGGATTTGCTTTGGCTCCTGAGTAAATTTTTGTGAACTGATGATCACTTTAAGCCACACATGAAGTTCAATGTAACTATGGGCACATGAGAGAGATTCAGCGAGACAGGTCTGCACAACACACATTTGCTTCACAACACACAACAATGCAAGCAGTCCCTCTCACAGCTCAGGAACGATGGGATGGACGAATGGATGGAAGAGCTGGAGGTGAGTATCTGAACCACAGGGAAAACCCAAGAAAAGTTCCTCCACCTTGGAGACTCAGTGCACTCTCGGGGTCCTGGTGGTAGCTGTTGGTGATGTCCACGTCTGGGAAAGAGGCACTGTGAGGCATTCTCCTACAATCGTTCTGGTACAGGGGACAATGAATAGCACCATCTTGAGGCAGTGGGTGGAAAGGCTGGTGCTTGGGGCTCCTTTTCAGAGCTCGGAGGGATGAATTCCTTTCAGGAATATCTGGCAGCAGCTCACTGATAAGACGGTGCAATATACTGTTGTCTGGCAAACTTCCTCTCCTCTTCTCAGCTTTGATTTGGTCACAGATGTCTTGAAGGGCGGAGTCCAGAGCCTCGAATACAGAAGCCTTACATTTTGCTTTTTCAGTCTGTTTTTTGGGAGTCACATTCTTTTTCCTCCGGAAAGGCACAGGGCTGACGAGAAATGCAAGTTTAGATAGGCCAGGGTCCATTTCTTGTCTCCTGGGCTGCTCGATGTTTTCATGTTTGGCTCTTTCGTGTTTTAACATCGTGGTAAATCGCGTGTAGGACGCGGGGCATCGGCCTTTGCAGGAACTGATGAGGTGCCTGTGATGGTGGTGGTGGTGATGGTGGTGGCGATGGTGGCTGGAGCCGTAGAAACTTTCAGAGGACGTGAACGAGAAGTGATCAAAATCACTTTCGCTGCAAAAGGATGACCCTTCTACGTGAATGTAGTCACTGTGGTCAGACACCACTCCATCTTGGTCACTGTCGGAAAATTCCACGTGGGCTCTCGGTTGCTCCTCGCTGGTGACTTCGATGTGGATTGGCACCAGGGTGTTAGACTGGTAGCTCCGTTGCACCTGAGAAGGGTGTCTGCTTTGATTTTCTTCCTCCAGCAAAGACTCGATGGAAAATCGCCTCTTGGGACACAAACCATTTTGCTGTGGCTCTAGGGTGACGGGAGAGAGCATTTCGTCTCCTAAATTTGGCATGGATTTTGATTTTTGAATCAACTTTTCAAATTCCGAAATGCGGGTGGGTACCATGTCCCTGGGCACCTCCTCGGTGGAGGACTGGCTCCATCCATGGAGTAAGCCCTTGTGTTGCTGTTCCTTTTCGTACTGCATTATTCTCGACTTCACAGAGCAGATGACCTCTGAATTCATCAGATCCTTGCGGTTAATGCGGTGCATCTTCTTGTACATTTTTAGGAACCCTGGGGCGTTGTGGGCTGCCCTGTGTCTGATTCTTGATCTGCCATTACCTCGAACCTCCTGGATGTAAGGGGAAGCCCAGGTCATGGGGCAGCTCTCTTTGGAGTCCTCTTCACACAACAGGGAGCCCATACTTTCCGACTTGGTTTGGGGGTCTGGGAAGCTATCGCAGTCATCATTGAGGAGGTCGTCACAGCTACGGGATTTGATTTTGGGGGAAACTGTTTCTTCTGTGCTGCTCCAGATCTCTGCATTTTGCCGGGCCATCTGCCAGCCATTCTTGAAAGTGATGGCCCTTTGTGAGTCCCTCGGGACGTCCAAATGCTGTCTATAAGTGCTACAGTACTCTAACTCAGGGGAAGGGGTGCCGTTGATCCCTGAGTAACTGCAAAGGGACGGACACATTTTGCTATCATCCCCACCTTTTAATCCAGAGCAGCGTGGCAGGAGAGAGACATTTGGAGAAGTTAAAAAGTTCACAAAGAGAGGAGGTCAGTATCAGAGAGCACAGCAAAGAGAAAGCAGTTAGTGTGGTTTATCTTAGACAGTGATTGTTAACACATGTAGCTTCAACTTTAGAGAAAAAAAAGCCTAAGGCAAAATAATACCTTTTCAATGAATTCAGCTTTGCAAATTTTAGAGTCATTTAAACCATGTGTAACAAGTAACTGATGTAGTAAATACACCTATTTCTATTTCCTAATGAATACATCTTTCTGCCAAAGGGTATGCCAGAAAAACAATTCTATCTCTTAAGCTAATAGCATGACCTGATAGTAGTAACTTCGAGGATTAACAATTGATGACCAAGTTGTTGTGAACTTAATCAATTTAAGAGGGACAGGATTTGAGGTTTATAATTTACAATAGGGTAAGAAGTGATTTATAACTTACATTAATTGATATTCTCTTAACTCTGATAAACAAAATTTTTTCATGAGCATTTTGGATAGAAAACATTATTTTCCAAAGTAAAAAAAAAATAAAAATGCTGTGAACTATTGTTAGCAATTTTTTTTCCAAGAAAAAAAAATAGTGAGAGGCTCTTTAGATAAAGTAATTTATCTCTTTAATTACTAACCTCAGTCTCATATTAGACACATTGTTCTCATAAAGATAACTGGATATAATGTAAAACTTTCATTAATTATATCATGCTTCTTTTCTGGGGGAGGTTTTTTTTATTGTTTGACATTTGATAAGAGAAAGCTAAACCTGATCTCAGTTTGGAACAACTACAGAAATATTCTTTTCTTTTTCTTTGCCGAATTAGCTAATAAACAAGAGGCAAAATTACATCTAAGGATGTTTTGTTTTTAGAAATAAAACCGAGTATAGGAAAATATTAACAAATCATGACTTATGATCTTCCCCAAGTTCTTTAAAAGTAGATAAGCACATTAAGTAGATATGTAGTATTTGGGAAAGGAAGTTAATTTAACACTCCCTACTATTAAACAAATATTTAAATTCATCAGAAACCTTTTAACATTCTGGGTAGTATCCAAGAATAACGAATCAGTGGCATTTCATAACCAACTTGCTACCTTAAGATATTTGTTTGCACAAATGAGTAGAATCTGGTAAAGGCACATCTACTTATCTGAGTAAAGGTACAAGGAATGGGGCTCATTTCCCTGAACAGCTGGGTCCTACTCGCAACTTCACTAGGCCTTGGAAGGCTTGGGTCCCCGCTGTGCACAGGGCAGCCATCTCCACAGCTACTGATCAGCTCTAGATGTGGCACTGGCTGTAGTGCCTACAATTGGTGACGTGGCTGAATCTATTTTATAGAACTTTCTGTTAGAGCTCATTTTCTTCACACATCTTAAAGTCCTTCTCTCTTGTCAGCTCCAAGATATTGGAGGAGAGTCCAATGGCTCCAGATTTGGTTATAGCTGAAGGTCCAGAGGGACACAGGGGGGCTCATTCAATCCTCACTCTCCATCTTAGAAATATTCCTGTCCCAGAGGCAATGATGCACTAAATGACCTTCCAGGGACCTGAAGCCTGACTTCTTCCCTTCTAATACTTAGCTCACTACCTTTCCAAAGAGGATAGAGGCCATCTGGAAAAATGGCTTATTGATTTCTCAGGTTTAAGATAATGGCTCAAAACCAGTCAGTTCTCATTGCATGGTGAATTGAACACCATGTTGCACAGTAGAATGTGGATGCTCTACTATATATATGAAGATTGGCCAAAATAAAGAGATAATGGTTAAAAAAAACGACTTTAATAGAGTAAGCATTTTTTTATCTAAAGATTTTTTTAAAATGTATGTTTTTAGGGAATAATTTTCTCTGTTGCTGTAACTATTAGTTTATAAATGTGATTGATTTGCTAGGTAGAGTAACATTAGAAATTTTTACTATATATTAATGCTTATAAATATCATCTTTCATCTTTATAAGCCCCCAAACAAATTATTTGATACTTTGTATGTGTTTCATAAAAATATATCTATATTGGGGGAAAAGCAGGAAAAGAAGCTAGTCTGAGTCCTTTAAGTGAACCCAAGTGGCTGGCCAGCTTGAGTCAGTCTGGGAAGGAAGAAAGCCATTGTTCTGAAACTGTACTTCACTTATGACACTGTAGGTAAAAGGTAGCATATCACTCTCACTGCCTGGCTCTCACTTTCAGTCTAGGCTAAAACTTTAACTAGTTCATTTTTGTGCGCTCCTTTATCCTTGCTCACCTTTTGCTCTTGAGGGGGAGGACGGAGAAGAGCTAATGAAAGACTTCATAAGGGTGGCATTGGATCCTGGGAGGTCTGCCCGACCAGGGCTGGTCCTGCTTGCACTTTGCTCCCCCAAGCCCCTGGGTGGACCCACTGCAGGCTCACTCTTCCTCCGTTTCCTGAAGTCGCTGGCCATGCTTGCAGAGCTGAAAGAAGTAATCATATCAGTTTGACTGGTCCCGATGGAGGTTAGCACATGTACCACAAAGGCCCATGTGATGTGCTAGAGAAGATGGTATATGCAACCCCTAAATCTGCACCCCCAAAACAGCATGGTGAGGATCTCATTCCTTGACATTTAAAATGATTTCTTTAGAATCATCTTTTTAAGACATTTATTCCAACAGTGATATTCTGGAAAGGGTAAAATGTGGTGCAATAAAAAGATCAGTGGTGTTAGGAAGTGGGCGGAGGAAGGGATGGAAGAAAGGGTGGTGCCCTGGGAATTTTTGTGGCAATAAAAACTATTCTAAACTATTCTCTATGACATAGTAGTGATATATACTGTTACACATTTTAAAACCCCAAGAATATATAACACACAGCATATGTAAAAAAATACATGTTTTAGAACATTTAAAGACTTTTTTTTTAGAGCAGTTTCAGGCTTACAGGGAAAAAAAAATCACTTCCATATCTGTGGGTTCTTCGTCCACAGATTCAACCAACCATAGATGGGAGAGAATTAGAGAATTTAAAAAATTGCATTTGTATTTGACATGTACACATTTTTTATCCCAAGCAATACAATATATCAAATATTTGTATGGCATCTACACTGTAAATGATTGAGATAATATAAAGTATCTGGGAAGATGTGCATAGATTATATGCAAATACTATGCCCATGTACATCAAATACTTGGGCATCTGCAGATTATGGTATCCTTGGCAGAGGATGGGGGAGTGTTCTCAAGCCAATCCTTTGCAGGCACTGAAACACAGTGTATGGAGAATTCTTTATACTCACTCCAGTTTCTGTTTTTATTTACCTCTTCTATGGTATGTGTTACAACTGATGAACCTATCCTGACATTTCATCACTGAAAGTCTCCAGTTTACATTAGGGTTCCTGCTGCATATGATTATATGTTCTGTGGGTTTTTTAAAAAAAATGCATAAAGAAAACTGTCCCTCACAATGTATCACATAGAATAGTTTAGAATAGTTTTATTGCCATAAAAATCCCCTGTGCATCCATCCCTTCCTCTTCCTGCCCCCTGACAATGTCAGATCTTTATATGATCTCCATATTTTGCCCTTTCCAGGATGTCACAGTAGGAATCATACAGTATGTGGTCTTTTAGATTAGCTTCTTTCACTTAGTAGCATACTTCTAAGTTTCTTCCATGTCTTTGTGTCACTTGATAGCTTATTTATTTTATGGCTGAATAATATTCTATTATATGGATGTACCACCATTTCCCATTCACCAAACTTTGATAATTATGAGTAAGACTTCTATAGGCATTCATACACAGGTTTCTTTGTGTGAGCATATATTTATAATCACTTTTTAAAATAAAAATTCTCCTATGGTGAACATTTTGTTGATACTGGCAATTCAGTGTTATGATATGTATAATGTATAATTTCTCTATGGAGTTCCAACAGCATGAACAGATCCAAATGGGGGACAGGGTGGGGCAGGCAAAAACAAAGGAAAGGACTGAAATAAAAGAAGATATCTAGCAAAATTAGTTTCTATTACCTCAAGGATTGCCTGCAGGCTTTCCTAATAATCTTAGCTTTGGAAGACCTAATACAGGAATTCCAACATTCTGTATTCAAATAATGAAAGACCAATAATTTTTCCAGAAAATTAACTATTAAGAATTCCTTCCACCCAGTTGTATAGAATGCTCTATTACAGCAAGGAGTTTTTATTGTGGTTGTGAATCTGAGAAGAATATTAGTGATTGACAGGCTCCATCATACAGCATGCTGTCTGTCAAATCACTGGAGAGAGTTATGTAAACAGTGACGGCATTGGATATAGCTCCTATGGAACTCAGTAAGATGCTATGTGCTTTATTTACATTTTTATCTTATTTAGCCCACCAAGTAACCTATGACGGATTGATATGTACACCCCATATATACAAATGAGCAAACCAAACACACACCTGGGAAGTACAGAAATAGACTTCAGAATTTGCATTCTTTCTAATGAGGAGGCTCCATCTCCTACACATATTTTTGCTGTGACTCTCCTGCCATGTGAGGGTCTATATCTTTAGAGCAATCCTTAGGAGAGATTAAAACTTAAAAATTCAAACATTTATAACATTTTGGGTGAATATATAGATACAAAAGATAAAAGGAGAAGTTGGATGCTCCTTTCTTTGGGCTATTAATGTAGCTGGATGAGCTTTCTACTTAAGTTGATAAAAATTACAGAAGGGCAAAAGAAAGTTATTTGTTGATGATACAATATAGCTGGGAGTTGGTAATATTCAATGTTGCTATTGAACTATGACTGAATTTCATTAAGAATTAAAGTAAGTGTGATATTTGAAGCCTACTTAATAGAACTTCTTTTGGGCTGACTCTGAAGGATTTTTATTTTGTTTCTCTCCTTTCCAGCTGTGTAAACTTGGCAAGTTACTAAGCCGAAGTATTAGTTTCTTCAGAGATATATCGGGGACAACAGTATTTAACTCCCAGTGTTGTCTTTTGATTGAATATGTTTAGGTACTTAGAATGCCAAGTATATAGTAAGCCTTCATGTATTGTTAGTAAAAGAATTTCTGATTTGTGTGGTCAGTATAATTAACAAATATGTGTATAGGAGTTTCTAATTTATAAATTTTAAAATAATTATCCTAAATATTGCTTAACAACATTGAAAATGAGTTATTCATAATACTTATTAAAAGGAAAGAAAAGCGGCTGAGATAGGGAAGGGAAGAATATATCAATCTGTGAAGGAATCCAGAATTATTTTATAAATTCTTGAATATGATCATATAAACTAATGCCAAAATTAAATTCATGAGATGCTATTTAAAATAAGAACAAATAATACATAATTACCATTGAAAAAGAAACCACTGGCATAGAACATTCTGGTTGTCAATGTCATGGGATTCTTACCTAGCAGGCCTTTCCAGGCTTCTGTCTATAGACTGGTATATGGAGGCCTGTTAAAATAGAATAATAGCTTCATGACAATAATTATCATGGCAAATTTCATTTGTCTGTCAACATTAAATTAGGTAACTTACAAAGAGTATTACAAATATTGAGATTAAAAGTACCATTTATAAGGAGAATAAAAATGTCTTCCCAAATAGACTGGTAATAGAAGTCATGCAACCTGAGCTTCACTTTTCCTATGTACTTTCTCTACTGAGAAACTGTATTGCATTTCTTGTTGTAATTCAAGTTATCTATAGCCCAAGCGTTCATTACATGGGGAAAAAGAAGAATCAATAATATTTCCTCAGGAATGCTGAACTGAATAAAGAGCTAAGTTATTCTGTAATATTAAGTTCAGAATCCTGCCTACTGATTGACTGTAAGTACAAATTGTCTACTATGTTTAAAAATATATTTGCAGTCATTATTCGATTTTTACACAGTATAAGCGTTCCCTATAATTTTGTTGTTGTCATCACGAAGAACTTGAGGTATCTTTCCTCTGTCAACAAAGATCTGACATTTCAATGACATCCACAGTATTTGATTTGAAATTAAACTAAACTACCTGGAATTTCAGTCAGGTACAGATATAAGTAAGTTCAGGGTTAGTTTAAAATAAATGATCTAATGAATCAAAATATAACTTTTTAAAAAATTTATTCTGTAGAGTACAGTAAAATTGATACTAAGCAAAAATGATAGATTATTAAGTTCCCATTTTCCATGGCCACCCAGTGTGATTATTGTTGAACTATCTGAAAGGCAAGAGAGGATTAGTATTGAGCTCCCAAATCTTGGAAGTGACAGTACAAGATTGGATGGAGGGCGACAATGTCTAGCATGCATAGGGAAATGTATACCACATTTATATGACTTTGGTCATAGTAAATGCTATTTATGATCAGACAAATTTTAGTTTAGTTTGATGAAAAAACTGAAATTCTAATTTGAAATTTTTGTCTATATAGAAATTTTAAAATGTTAGCCAGAAAGGTAAGATTTGAAAATTTTAATTTTAAATTCCTATTACATGAAAATATTTTTTACCAGAATATTGAAGATCTACACATGTTAACCCCACTTAACAAATAATTTCTATAACTCTGTTTTCTGTTAATTGGGAAATTAACATCAATTAGTCAATTGAAATATTAATATCTAACTGTACAATTGTTTATGTAGGTCAATCTGACAAGTCCCCTTATAAGTAACTATAAAGTTGCTTTTGTAACTAATATATTTATTTAATTCTATTTCATTGAAAGAGAATGGAATTTTATCTAGAGACAAATAAAAATGTTTCTTGACCAGAGAATATTTCTTTCTCTTTTTGGGCCAAAAAATTATATTCTAATATGTTTAGTTCCTAGAAAATGCTTTGATTCCTAGTTTTTAAATAAATATGAAATCAGGAAAAAATATGGTACAATAGCCTGATAAGTTTTCATGATTGTTTTAATTTACTGAACTCTGAATCAGATCCTGGGAAGGTAGAAAAACAGAGAGTAAATAAGAATGCAAGCAAACAAGTGAAAAAAAAAATAAAACCACATAGTTATATTATAGTTTAGAACTATTAATTCTACATGTATGCAGAAGAGTAACACCAGAGCTGCTGGATACTGTCATCTGTGAGGATCAAGGTTTTCTTGGGACACAATAATACACTGTTGATCATCAAGTGGGGTCAAATTCAAAACACTTTTGAACATCCCTGAAGAGATCATTAATTTTAGAATGCCAATTTATGATGAGTCTAAACACTATTGTAATGTGAAATAAAACAGAGTGTAAGAACTGATAAATTGATTGTACCTAGTATTATTGCAGAAAACTGCAATTATTTTTCCTGTGATGATTTTCACTTTCAAATAAGCTAAAACCAGTTTTTGATTCTGTGTATAGTCAGAGAAGGTTCAGTATCACATTATAAGGTAAAGCATCTGTGACTAAGAGAAAAACTTGTACTCATAATTGTAAGCATGATATCTGTCCTAAAATAAAAATTCTATATAGAAAAAAGCAATCCATTCGACTTATTATGATCTATTGTTTACATATAGTCATTATTTTATCACACCTTGGAAGGTCGTTTTAATGAAGAGTAGATACTGAAACTTTCCTTCTGTTAAGAATGATGTGATTAAACTTTGTTTAAAATCTGGTAACAATTCTTCATCAATGTTAGTTTCTCAGTTATATTTAAGGATTAAAAAGTATGTTGCTAGCTGGGTACAATGGTACATGCCTGTAATCCCAGCTACTTGGGAAGCTAAGGCAGAGGGATGGCAAGTTTGAGGCCAGTCTGAGCAATTTAGCAGACCCTATCTCAAAACAAAACAAAACAAAAAATGCTGGGGATGTAGCTTGGTTGTTGACTTGCCTAGCATACTTCAGCCACGGGTTCAATCCCCAGTACTGGGAGAATAAAAAACGATTTATTCATGACATATACCAGACTCTTGATAAATGGTAGCTAAGATAATGAATATCAAATCAATTTATATATACTAGAAATGTTATATAAAATGGCATTAAAAACAAACTCTAGATACATTATTGGAGTGTTTTATTACATTCTGACAAATCATGATCTTATATTGATAACATAGTTACTATGTTACTAAAATCAACCAACATTCCTCTCAACCCCTAAGAGAGAATGACAAATAGTTTAAGAACAGAAACTGATTTTTAAGTGATTTTTTTGCAATTACAATAACATTTTAGAATGCATAATATGAAATTTTTAAATATTTTTATGTCCAGGAACTACTGTGAAATGTTAATTATTTGAACTCATTTCACAAAAATTCAACAGTTAATGAAAATTGTACTAAGTAAATTTATTTCTAAAAGGATTGAGCTCTTATATATATCTTTTGGAAATGTAAAAAGTGTGGAATAAGGGGAAGAGCACTAACATGAAGTCTGAGTGATCAGTGGTAGATTTTTTTTTCCCACCATATTATCAGGTGGATTTTTGGACATATTTCTCAAAATTGTTGCACTCTACTCTAATTTACTAAAAAATGGGTGAGTTGGACATGATACTTAGCCTAGAAATATCTGACCAAATAGAATTTCAAAATCAATTCTTGAGTTGTTTAAAAGTTGAAATGATACCCTTTATTCATACATAAAGGTAACATAGCATATAGAATAGAATTACTTGTTTTATTAGATGTTTTTAGAGTATATGTCTGCTACGAAACATAAATCTTGAAAAATAACTGAATTCAGTAATCCAGAAGGTTCCTGATTATTGCATTTTACTTTTGGTTTGATATATAAATATCGTGGTCACTCCCCTGCTTTGACACACACTCTGACGCCTTCTACAGGGAAAATAATTTTGGATTGCAAATTAAAGCTTTAGAAAATTGGGAATTTCCTCCTGAGACTCTATGCCTGCAATTCTGGTGAACACTACTATGTATCAGTAGTCCCTCCTACAACATTAGTTTTGTTTTTATTTGCACATATTTAATTTTAAAATTTCAATAGAAATAAGATATTTATTAAATATTGTATTCACTTAAAACCATAAAGCAAATACTGTGTGAAAATCAGTTTATTCTGTTTGCTTTCATCTAGCTACTCTTAAGAGTTCTCACAGAGGTTTTTATATGGCAATTGGCTACCAGGCAGTGCCATTTTTGCTTCTGTCTTCTAGTAAGGCCTTTATTGATTTCCAAAATAATTTTCTGTTTTCTTTGCAGAGAGTAGGAAAAAATGCTTTGGTCTAGAGATATTTTCTATTTTTTTTCAATAATCTCTTTGCCTATTTCAAATAAAAATTTACATTACATGGCCTAAATTTTTCATCTAGTTGACTGTCGTTAGTGTTCTTAATAGATATTTAAGTCAATTTCATCTATGTGCCTGGGATGATCTGTTATAGTGTCTGCCTGGATTATAGTGTTCAGAGAATTAGTGGTGTCTGTCAAGGGTATAAAACTGTTAAGTTATAACACACATAACACATGTTTGCCATCCGTATTCTTGACTGATACTAAAATCCATAAGTTTTGAGTATTTAGGAAAATGAAGGAATCAAAAAATAAATATTAGGCAAATGTGGTACATAGGCTTCTGATAACTTAAGAATCTAAATTCTGTAAGCATGATGATTGAAGTGGCTCTGAGAAGTTTGCTAATTCTATTTTCCACAGGCTAAGAAAAACAGTGGTTAATATATGCACTAATATGACAATGATTTTGATTTTTTATTTTCATGCTGCTGAATACCAAGGCTGCGCTGAATAGCTTAACTGATAGTTATGACTGGAATGATTCTTCATGTAGAAATTAGAAATAGCCAATGTCTGTAGTATAATTAATGTCTAGGCAATGATCCTAGATACAGCACAATGATACAAAGATAGGTTTTTCAAAACTGGCTTAGGCACTACAGTGAATTGTAAAACATGGGTGTTCAGAATCACAGTAACAGCCTCTAAGGGAGAAATCTGAAAAAGAGAGAATAATTTCCTTTTACCTCATTGGAAACACCAGAAGAATGATCTTGAACATAATCCAGAGCCTTTTTAGGAGGCTGGGGTGTAGATGAACCACATAAGCAGAAGTGTAGAGATGGAATGGAGGAGAATCAATGGCAGCAAGGAATGAACATGTGGAAAAGGTGACAACAGTTAGAAATTGAGTGCTGATAGCATCAGATACAAACAAAGAGTGACATGAATGGAGCAAAATGGGGGTAGCCTAGCAGGAAGAATGCAATGTTTATAGATATTCTCAAGCATTGGGCACAATTGCTAGTGTTCAATTAGTAAATTTATAAACTCATTTTATCAAATCAAAATTAGCATTCCTAGTTTGGCCACAGAGGAATGCAAGGTTCATTAAAGAAACATTAAAGGAGCGAGTGGCTAGCATGCTGGTAAGTTTCAATTGTGTGGCAGAAAATGACTGTAGAAAATGTTGATAATTTAGGCTCAGTACAGAGGTTGGTATAATCCTTCTAAACTCTCTAAGCAATAATAACAAGACATATAAAACAAAGATCGAGAACTTTTTTCTTCTTAAATAGAATACATTAATATTAATGTTAGGATACAAATAAAAAAATGGAGAAAACATTTCTCCTATTAGGTAATAAAAATTTCAGGATAAGTTCTTTGGTTTATACTCATTTACAGTCACATTTGATTCAGTTCAATACAATATAATAAATCTAATCAGATTTCATTTGCATTTTAATGGTCAAAGGGTCTACCATAACCCATTTATGATGCATATACAAGCATATAAGTCAGCATATGATATGGTAAAAGATCATAGACTCTGATTTTTCTTTTCTCTCTCTCTCTCCTTTCTCCCTCCTTCCTTCCTTTCTCTCTCTCTCCTTTCTCTCTCTTCCTCCCTTCCTTCCTTCCTTCCTTCCTTCCTTCCTTCCTTCCTTCCTTTCTTTCTTTCTTCCTCTCTTCCTCTCTTCCTCTCTTCCTCTCTCTCTTTCTCTCTTTCTCTCTCTCTCTCTCTCCTCTCTCACTCTCTCTTAAAAAAAAAAAGATTTTTTCATATATGTAAAAAGTACATGATTATGTTGTGGATTTTGAACTTACAAAAAAAAAATATGGAGAAAGTGGAAGCTCCCTGACGTCCTGCCACACTAAGATATTTAGTTACCATTTTGACAGTGACCATTTCACAGGTCTGTCTCTCTGTCTCTCTGTATCTGTCGGTCTGTCTCTCTTAATTTACACATGCGTGTGTGTGTGTGTGTGTGTGTGTGTGATTTTATCTAATAGAATCATATCATATGCTGTTTTTATCCTGAATTTCTTTTCCCTGACCCTCCTATCCATGTACACTTCAGCATCCTATTCCCCATGTGTACCCCTAGTGTTCTATAATATCTTTCTCCTTGTTACATATACCCATTTAGAGATACAGTACAGGGGCTGGAGTTGTGGCTCAGAGGTAGAGCACTTGCCTGGCTTGCGTGAGGTCCTGGGTTCGATCCTCAGCACCACATACCAACAAAGATGTTGTGTCCGCCGAGAACTAAGAAATAAATATTAAAAATTCTCTCTCTCTCTTTCTCTCTCCTCTCTCACTCTCTCTTTTTAAAAAAAATAATAATAATACACACAGATTGTGTTTTTGACAAACGTGGGATCATACAGGTTTCAGAGAT